GGTTTAAAAAGAACTGTAAATACGCTGATCCCGATGTGTCAGATAATTTCAGTCTTAATCAAAACCTCCTGTGTGAAAGCAGCAGCATCACTTCACGGCAGCGGTGCTGTGCTGCACAGCGAGGGGGTCCAGACGCAAGTGAAGCTGTAACTTTATTAGAGGGCCAATTGAAAAGAATTACAGTAATTACTGCTTGATGTAATTAACCGCTGGGGAAGGGCTCGTGCAGTTGGTCTCTGCTGCGGCTGCTGGAGGGGAACGCTCTCCTCTACTGGGAGGGAGCCAGTGCGACCGCATCAGGTTGTAAAAGCTGTGCGGGTACGAGGTGGGAGAGCTTTTCAGCTGCGTTCCCCGAGGGCGTGCGGTGAGCTGAGCCCCCCGTCCCTTCCTCGGCATCGCTCTCCCTTCAACAGGAGAAGAAATTGCGGGGCTCCAGGGGCTGGAGGGGACCCGCGGCGGCTTTGGGCAGGGAAGGGCTGTGGGATCTCCCTGCCCGCCAGCGTGCGCGGGTGGGAGCCGGGCACGGCTGCTCCCCAGTCACTGCCTGAAACGCCCTGAAAGATTTGTTGAACAGGAAGGATTAGGGGTTTTTTTGTTTCACTGCTGTGGGATGGCAGCGCCCAGTGAGGCCGTGCCCAAGCCCGGCCGCCCTCCTGCCCGCCCCGGGAGAGGGACCTGCCTGCACAGGGACGCTCAGGAAAATGAACCACATTGTCTTCTAAAGCGTACTAGTGAAACCACATTAAATCCCCAGCAGATAGTCTTATTCCAAATTTCAAGTGCTCTTAATTCAATTCAGCGGTGAATCAAGCCACTCTGAATTTATGCCGCTTTAATTGCGTGTGAAGGCTTCGCAATGAGGTTTAATGCCATTTAATGGATGCCTTTTCCATTCAGCGCTCTCCCTTGGCTCAGACCAGCTTTGCTGCTGCCCCGCTCAGAGACCAGCCTGGGGCAGGGGCAAGCACGGGCGCCGGGTTCAAAACAAGCCGAGGCCAAGACAAGCCAAACCCCAAATATGCAATTATGTCGGAGGGCAGAGTAGGGGTGAGGGGTGTGTGGGTTCAAAACCCCTGACAAATGGGTGGGGAAGGAAAAATCCATTAAGGGGCATCCGATGCTCCAACGCTGAAAGCTCAGGATTTCCCCACGCTGTGGATTTGGGAGGCTGGCAAGCATCCCAGGCTGATGGCCTCTGCTCTGAGCCCCCTCCCTGCTTGCCGCACGCTGGGATTTGGGGTTGGGGGAGCTCAGGCTGAGCCAGCACAACCCTCCTGGTGCTCTTGTGGGGGCAAAGGGAAATAACGCTGTTGCTGGCCTGAGCGCATGTTCGATGCCAGCCAGGACAGACTGCTGCTTAATGCCTGACCCGCCTCGGGTGGGTGGGGAGCAGGAGGGACCCGGTTATCTCCAAAATCAAGGATGAAAGCAAGTCCCCATCCCACCGCCTCTCCCCTGGTCCCACAGAGGTGCACGGCCTGGTGAGCCCTGCCCGGGGTCTCATCTGCCCCGAGACCCCTCCAGTCACT